AAAATCGCTGCAAATTGCAGTATTGTCGCACCAAAGTTGCAGTCAAAATCCCAGAGTGTGTACATTAGAGATTTCAAAAAATCGTTGTAGAAATCGCAGTGAAAATTGCAAGTGTAAACAGGCCTTTGTGTGAAGTAATGTTCACTAAAGCATAAGCAAGAATATATCAAGTGGAATCTGTTGAATTAATCGCTGTTTTTATAGTGCGCGTACAAATACAAACGACAAATACTATCGGATTTCATATTAAGTCTAATACTACTATATTTCACTATATTTTAGATAGTATTTTAATACGTTTCGCAGTTTTATAGGCTACGCTTCAAATTTTGTATTTGTATATTTCGTATATGCGAATATGCGATAACACATCTTTGATTTGCAATCACTACAAATAGTATTTTAGAACGTTCATGGCGTGTGCTTCTTAAAGGCAGCATTTACTACATTTTAGGTAACCTAGTTATATCAAAATTTTTTACACTGCATGGCAGCATGGCATGAGGTGCATGTGGCTAGTTTACTGATAATAAAATGTCGTGGTTGTTTCTGAATTGTGATTGTGTTAATATTTTGCAATATTATATTACGAGCTTTAAAAGCAAAGTTTATTGCATATATACTGTATTAAAAAGAACCCGTAAGGAACTAAGTATATATTTTATATAACAAAACTCATGCATGAGAATCGTCTGAACTCTTATTATTTAAAGAAATGTAAGGCCTACTCAAAAAAAAAAAAAAAAAAACGTTGTAAATTATGCCTGCACGAAAAGTTTATTATAATTTACTATCCTAAATTAAGCTCTTTGAACTCAAGAAACGAACTAATATCCGCATGTATAGGCACAGGAAAAAATTCCTGCTCTGCAGCCAATAGCTTAGGTTACATATATTTACGCTTTCCTAATGACGTCAAACATTTGTATAATAGCTCAAGTTACCTATAGGTTATAACATCATATAACATTCACCTGATGAGTGTGGCAAGCTTATAGTTTGCCATACGAAACAAATTTGTCGTGAATAAATGTTTTAAAAGAAGTAACTCAAGTTTGTCTTTTAATTGCTCTACTTTCGTATCGAGCACTCTATTCGTATGATTCGACACTCAATATACTTATTGACATTCGCCTATATATATATATATATATATATATATATATATATATATATATATATATATATATATATATATTTATATCTTAAAATTAATTATTGCTACTCAAGTTTCACGCCTTATTCAAGACGATCTATCGTCTTGAATAAGGCGTGAAACTTGAGTAGCAATAATTAATTTTAAGATATAAATATATCTTGCTCTACTTTTGTATTAGTGTTGAGCACTTT